TGAGTAATATATATATCAAAATATCTTAATTTGACATAAAATTTAGTTTAACTTGAATATCTGGATGGGGAATGAATAGATTTTTTTTAACTATTGACGGTGTTTTGTGTTTTGTCTATTGTTTAACTATTTTAAATATTTATTTTGACTATATGTATATATTTTCAAATATATTTGGACAACCTCGACATATCTTATACAGTTTGATACTTTTTTGATATTATATCTAAAAGTAACTAATATATTTAAATATATAAATCTGATTTGAATCTATTCGGGTATTCGAAGTATTTCGGTTTGGATCGGGTTCGATATCAATTCTCTAAATACCAAAATTTTGAACTCGTTTAGATATTTAACCAATTTTAGTTTGGATTTAATACTACTTTTTTAAATCGGATTCGGTTTAGTTTTTTTTAGTTTGGATTTTTTGACCAGCCCTAATTTCAACCGCATTATTATATCCTTTTACCAATGCCACAATGTTTAAAGCATATTCAAAGCATGAGACAGGTTGAAATGGGTCATCAACTTAAAATGTTCCTTAAAGGTACCAACCACTCTATTTCTCTTTATAAACTTTTTTTTGGTCGACTTCTCTTTATAAACTTAAACAAGTAAAGAATTGTGAACAAGTCCAAAGAAACAAAAGAAAAGAGCAACTATAATATTAATCTTATAGAAATATGAAACTTTGGGAGTTGGCTACATTCTTTAATTTAAATTTAAAGAGAGCTCTATCTTTAGAAAAGAGCCTCTTCTACTTGATAAAAGATGTGAAAATATGAAAGAGGTTCTCCATAACTTTGGAATCTTTGCTTTTTTCTTGTTGATTTCCTTATCATTGGTATCTTATTCGTGTTAAGCCTCATAACCAAGTGATTAGTTGCATTACATTTTCGTGTTATGTATTTTCGCTTCCTTCAATTATTACGTATCATTATGTTTTCAAAATATAAAGATTTGTCGTCACCTTTCAAATTCTAATCATTACAACTTTTATAAATGTTAACTACCCTATGATTTGTTAGTAATCTATCAAATATTTGAAAATACAATCGAATCAACCAAAATGTTTAATGTTAGACTAAACATAGATTATAATAATTTTCTTATAAGCAAATACAAAAAATTGGTTAAAGGGGGCTAGCTGGCTCTTGGGATAACTTGGTAACGCGCAAACGCCGTCCGTGGTGATCTGTGACTTGGTCCCACTTTGTTGGTCGCATGTTACGCGCCGCCTCTCTCACTAACGCCGTGTAAAATGTATACCGGAGGGAACAAGATAATAATAGTAATAAAAAGACAAACTAGCCGTTGCTCTCTCATTTGAAAAATGAGTATTGGTATTGGGTAAAGATCCTCCAAAGCATTCTTTACAAACTTCAATAAAAATACTTGCAGAAAGAGCTACACTTTCAGATCATTTAACGGGTCTCTGAATCACATATAGTTATCTACATACGTTAAACACACATGGATTATCTCCTCTTTTTGTATATAGATATGATATTTAAATTAATATTTTTTACATTTTGACATTCTTTCTATCTAAAAGAAGAAGAAATAGTGTTACCCATGAATGGTGCTGATGTGTGTAATAAGGAGAGTGGTATGCATGTCTTCACATAGGCTTTCACCGTCAAGACCAGTCTGCACCTTAACCAAATCTATAAGCAAGCACGAAACTGGGATAGACGAATTTTTAAAATTTCAACTATCTACCTTATTGGCATAATATATATAAAAAATATAGATCTCCTACATTTTATTTGTAATGACATCAAATTTTTTGAGAGTATAAATTTGAGATTTATATCCACAACTTCTTAATGTACAGACTAATCAAATGCTGAGTATGCAAATACTATCCGAGTCCTCTTTGAAAATATAGAGTTATGCTTGCTTTAGTTTACTTTAATTAACAAAAAAAAAGTAATTGTTCTAATGAAAAATCATGATTAAGTTCTACGGCGAACAGCGAGGTGAAAAACAGTAACGGAAAGAGGAGAGAACGTCCGTTACCGTTAACTACGTTAGAGTAGATGCCGTCTAACCAGAGTTCATACTATTTGGCCGATAGAGAGATAATGAAAAGAACAAACCGGTCAACCAGCTGTTCCCTAGCGATGCCCATGGTTTCATCCATTAATTACGTAAACGCCATCATGTTCGGCTCTCTAGAAACAAAATAAATCAATTGACTAAACATTAGCGAGAGTTACTTATTATAACATTTATAACAAAATATTTGTCCAAGAAGAAAGCATAAGCAAGCTGTTAAATGATGCAATGAAACCAAATTGCAATTTTTAATATTTGAGAAACCTGTATATTTCTCTTTTTTATTCATAAGACTGAGAAAGTTGCAATAAAAATGGCTTAACAAAGATTTTGTCCGTGAGAAAATAAAACCAAATTGCAATAAAGAAAAAACTATGTTGAAGCCGTCCTAATTAAACTACACAAGTCGTGGGTGCACGAAAACATCAAATAACTTGAGAATAAGCCAAGGAATATTTCAAAGTCTAGAAACTGTAATTTGATGATTATTTAATAGTTTAATACAAATAATATGCGTCAATTGCGTATATGTCAATTTCATAATTAATAAAGAAACGAGTACCTGTTCCTTTATATATAAAGAAAAAGAGAATGGCACTGTTGTAAATATATCCACAAAGAAGCCCGTTGTGATAAATGTCTCATGTTATAAGAAGCTAAACACCAATGCTTAACTTGTTGTCTTAAGCTGTGTACAGAATCAAGTTTCAGACAGAGAGAGAGAGAAACAAATTCAAAGAAGCCTCTCATTCGTCCAGAAGGTTTGGTCAAAGAAGAGAATGAACTCTCGCGCGATCTACGCCGTCATCGCGATCCTCGCGCTCGTAATCTCAGCCGTCAACGCAACCGGCGGTGTTGGCTTCGGAGACTCACTTGATTTCGTACGGACAGGATCTTCTTCGCTCTTCTCTGGATGCAAAGGATCCATCGCTGAGTGTATAGCCGAGGAAGAGGAGATGGAGTTCGATTCAGAGATCACTCGGCGCATGTTAGCGCAGAAGAAGTACGTTAGCTACGGTGCGATGAGGAAGAACAGTGTGCCTTGCTCACGACGTGGAGCTTCGTATTACAACTGCCAGCGTGGCGCTCAGGCGAATCCTTACAGCCGTGGATGTAGTACCATCACCAGGTGCAGGCGTTGAAGAGGAAGATGATGTATAATTCCTGTTTTGCCCTTGCGTGTTTCTATTTTTTCTTTTGTTTTTATTTCCGGGATATATGGGTTTGATTTACACATTGATGAAAACTATAGTCTTTGTTACAAAAAGAAAAAAAACATATCGTTATTTTTATTTTTGCTGGTTGTTTATATAAAATAAAGTATAATTCAAAGTTGGGTAGATTAGCAAAAGTGATTAGTCCGAGAAGTAATTGAGATCTGTGCTTCGTTTTGTGTTGTAACAATTAACGAAAAGTAATTGTATTATTTTTTGAATTTGAGCTGTATTAATTATATCGACCATATAATTAAACTGAGTAACAGAAATGTATTCCTTTATTAGTTGTTGGTGGCATGTTGGCTAATAAGGTAATGATGGGACCATCACAGCCTAACACTCTTAATATTCCAAACATTTTCTTCAAATTATTTTCTTTGGCGAAACTTCGTTTTGTTGAAGCTGTTGTCTTTTGTATTTGGAATGCATCGTTGGATATCTTTTGTATATCTTAATAGGCGAACAGTAACCACATTACAAAAGCATAAACTTGAAAAAGTGTGAAACAATTTTAAAGAGTTAGGGTTTGAAGAAAAAGTATTAATACGCTTATGATGGGTTTTAATTTTAAGAGAAATTGGACTCTACAACAATTAAAAAAAAACTAAAATTGAAAAACTAACCAAATTCTCTCATCTCAACTGAAATTTTTATTTTTGATGTAAAGAGTTTACGACTATAAATTCCACCACTTAGATTCGAATCGTCCATTAGGATATTCACATGGGATTTTGTAACATTTCAACACTGAAAGCCGTTCTGGTGTGAACATAATCACCGTGTGATCCGTGGTTGTCTCAATCTGTAGTTTATACTCATTTTGGTGAGGACTAAAACATCTAAATTACCAAAAAAACACTCTTCCATTCAGTAATGGTTCTGAGGAGAAGTAAAGGAAGCATAGACTTCCGATCTTTTTTGTGTTAATAATTTAGCGGCAACAAAATTTAGAAAAACCTTAAGTAGCCTAATGGTTAACTAAAGCCAATGTAGATATATAGGTAATAGGTTTGATTCTTTGCTACAACAATCAGCCTTATTTTTTTTAAATTACTTATAGCCTGAAAATATTCAGGGCTGGCACTGCTCCCATCTCTCTCCTTTTCATTTCTATCTCTCTAGGTCATGGTTAGTTTCTTATTTTTAGTTTTTTTTTTGGTTATTTCACCAATTCACCCTAATTTCAGCTGGCTTTGTGTTTTGATTAATGTTTTAGTCTTTTATCGACATTCTACACTAGTGATGTAATCATGTAAGCTTAATACAAAAGGAAAATGAAGATTAACGAACCACTCACTACCATGCGTAGGTACTAGTTTAGGTTCTTGTTTTATTGGGTCTCACTCATATTGTAAATAGGCTTTATAGTCACTTTACCAAGTTTGTAATATTAAGTCACACCTCCAACGAGTCTAGTTACACCACGACTCCACGAGTAACACCTCCGCCTCGTATTCGGGAAAAGGCCCATTAAGCTAGACAAGAGCCAGTGAAGCGCCACGTGTATCACCCACCTCACATGTATTGTCAGGCACCCTGCTGACCTTGACACGCCGTGTCACCCACCACTAGTTAAACAAGTGTTCCACCCAAGCCATCTCATTGTCGGCAAACAAAAAGCCCATAATCAGATATTTAACTACGGGCCCATCAATGTCCCCTTGATCCAATTACTAATATGCGCGCAACTTCACCGCCGTTCACGTTAGCATACTCACTCCAAACCCTTGGCAGCTAATCTCCAATCTCCTCCGCCGGCAAAAAAAAAGTAATATTTCCTCATAAATTCCGCAAATCTCGTATTTGTATTTAAAATCGGTAAATTAGATTCGCTACAGAGCGTTGAAATTTCAGTATGGGAGTTTCATTGTTCGACAAGGCGGAGCTATGGAAGAGTTTACTGTTCTTGAAGGTCCAGCTCCGTGATCGATTCCGAATCGCCGTCGACGATCACCGTGGTAGAGCCGCGGTTTTATATAACGACGGTTACTTCTCTTCCTCTATCCACCGCTTGGCTGCTCGATTCCGAAACTTCCGAAAGGAGTCTCTCCCTTCTGCCCCCGCCTTCTATCGCAGAAGAGGTTTGAATCACGTGATTGTTAGCACGTGATTTGCACGTGTAGCCTAATGTTTTTTTTTTTTTTTTTTTTTAAATTTCCTTTGTTGCAGTCTCTAAAGATTTGACGGCAGAAGAAGAGTCTGCTCTATTTCGGATGCTTCAAGCTGTGGCTGTTCCACTTATTGGGAACGCTTGTCATGTTTTTATGAATGGTCTTAACCGTGTTCAGGTGTGTGACAAATAAAATACATTCTTTTCTTTTAACCCTGTTCTCAGTGTTTGTGTTAATCTTTATAGGTGTATGGATTAGAGAAATTGCATGATGCTTTACTCAACAGACCAAAGAATAAGCCTCTTGTAACGGTATGAGGTGACTTTATGTTTTAAAGATAGTTTTTGTGGTTGGGGTTACTTAACTTAACTATATGCTTTTTGAAACAATATACAGGTTAGCAATCATGTGGCATCGTTGGATGATCCGTTTGTCATTGCGTCGTTACTTCCGCCTAAGCTTCTTCTTGATGCCCGTAATTTGAGGTGGACGCTTTGTGCTACAGATAGGTGTTTTAAGAACCCTGTGACTTCAGCTTTCTTTCGATCTGTCAAAGTTTTGCCTGTTTCACGCGGTGAAGGAATTTATCAGCAGGTGAAAAAGAGTCTGGTTTTTAATAGGCTTAGCTTCATAGTTGTGACATGCTGTTGTACCTTGGGAACAACAACTGCGTATTGTGTATTTTATGAGCTATGGGCGTGAAAAGTGAGTGAAAGTTTTGTAACTATTCCACAGGGAATGGACATTGCGATTTCGAAGTTGAATAATGGAGGATGGGTTCACATATTTCCAGAAGGTACCCGCTCTCGAGATGGTGGCAAGACTATGGGCTCAGCAAAAAGAGGTATTGGAAGGTGAGTCACCTTTGCCTTTTAAGTTCAGCTCTTTTATATGTAGTCACAAGCAAGATTGTAATTTACTTCTTTTTGCAGGTTGATTTTGGACGCAGATACCCTCCCTATGGTTGTTCCGTTTGTGCATACTGGTATGCAAGATATAATGCCTATAGGAGCCAGTGTTCCACGGATTGGCAAAACAGTGAGTATCTTTCTCTTTCCCCTCTTAGTTTGTGTGCTTCAGTCTCTTCACAGTTTGAAACCAATCTTGAACTAATAACAAAGACTAACTAGATACACTCTTTAACTTTATAAGCCTTAGTTTTTAGTGATTCGTGGGTTGAAACCAATCTTGAACTAATGCTTTAACAATGGATGAATCTGTCAGTTATTTGTGGGTCTCACATGTTGGTTAACCAAGTCATGTGTGTCTGTGGAGAATCTAGAGTTCAAAGTCCTAGTGTAATGTAACGTGATTGCAATCTCTTCCTATGGATTAACGTCAATTTTTTTTGCAGGTGACGGTGATCATTGGTGATCCTATTCCCTTTAATGATCTTTTGGACACTGAAAGAGCCAAACACGTTTCAAGGAAACAGTTGTATGACGCTGTATCTTCCAGGATCGGACACAGACTACATCAGTTAAAGCAACAGGTGGATAAAGTATCTCTGGAACAACAGGCCTTGATGTCGCAAAACCCCAAAATGTCATCAGACCGTGCTGCTGAGATCATCCACACATTAGATTGGGACTCGTTTGGGATGGGAGCACAATTCCCAGAAGAATCATCATCCCATAATAAACAAATATCCCAAACCGACGTCGTCTCCAATCTTTTGGATGGTCAAGCCCCGAAAAGGGGAGTGCCATATGAAGTAAGCAACAGCGTGAAGGTTAAGAGGTTTATGGACTCTACAGAGATCATGGGGTTTGCAGCTAGAGGGTTGTTTCAGAATCAGAACAATCAGAATCAAAACTTTGGTGAAATCAGGCCTTTAAAGGCATGGAGAGAGTATTTCGATGGCGATCTTGTGAACCATGGATTACACAAACTCGATTACACTTACTAGTTTGTATTAGGATCGTTAGTTTAGTTACACAAGCTCAGTTTTGAATAACATTATAATTTTATAGAAACTAATTCATCTTCCCATGGACAGACAAAGAGACACCGGTAGAATTCACCGACGCAAATAACGGCTGTGATATTTTTTTCCCGGTAAATCAGATATACTATCAGAAGTTTACACAGTTCTAAATTTTTGATACAGTATTAAAACAAACATAGGAAATTAAAACAATTTTGATGAAGGGATGAAGAGTAACCAACCAAACGATCAAAAGAAAAAAAAAAAAAAAAACAGAAAAATTCTGTTATGTCCTCCTTCATTAAAACGACATCGTTTGCCATTTACAAGGAAACGACATCGTTTGCCAGTTACAAGGAAACGACACCGGTGCAATTGATCGTCACAATCCAACGGTCGTGATTTAATCGCGGTCACAAAAGTTTTAAGACATATCTATGCAATGACGAAACTAACCCTTCAGGATATTGCCGGCGACAATAACTTCTCCTCCGTGTTCCTATTGGTAGAGAGAGAAAAAAAGCTAATGGCGGAGGAAGAAGACGAGTTACAGCAGGAGACGGAACTAAGTTACGATCAGAAGAAGGAGATCGCGAAATGGTTTCTCCTAAACGCTCCCGCTGGCGAAATCAATTACGTAGCCAAAGGTACTCAAATTACACTTGTACTACATTGTGGCGCATGTGATTTTTTTTGTTTTAGTGCTTCTTATTGCATTGAGATGTGGACTCTGTAACATTTTTTCTTTTCTAGGATCATTATGTGTGATTTGACATTTTGTATGGTAGATTTAAAGGCGGTTTTGAAGGATGAGGAAGTGTACAACGAGGCGGCAATGGAGGCGTTTCCAGTGTACAACAAGTCTCACATGATTTGCCTTGAAATGCCCAGTAGGGCTGGTGAGGTGTGTTATCTTCTTTATCTCTCAGTCTTGAGTGGAATATCTCAGGAGTTTTGAGATGTATAGTTGTTTGAAATGTGACTCTTTGTAGTAGCTAGAGAGTTTTCATGAATTTTTACGGCTGATATCTTAAGTAACACGCAATATTTCTTTGTTACTGTTTATCATATCCGCTTTAGAGATTTAGTATTGCTTTTTGTTTTTGTGTGTGTGTCTCAGGTGATTGTTTCGTCGTACAGTGAGATTACTGAGAATGAGTACATTGATCCAAGGACAGCCCAAGTTGCTATTGTTGATCACGTTAAACAGGTTCACTATTTATTGTTTTTATGCTTCGTTATAGCGTGGTGTGATTTGTCAATATAAATACTTAGAGGTTGCATCTCTTTGCTATGACCAGATTTGTACTAAAGTACGACCTGCGTATGATGAAGAACTTCCATCTTCCTATATTGAGGAATTCAGGTATGGTTTTACTTTCACACCTCCCTAGAGGATTTAGGATCAGGTTAATGTATCAACGTTACTGATCTTAGCTTTAGTTCTTACGGCAGTAGAGGAAAACAATAGAAGCTAGCACTTTGAAACGTCTTTTGTCTTTCTGCTGAATATAATAAATAGTTTGAAAAGGTGCTTTGTCCATTACAGATCTGCTCTTGATGCTGAAATCCAGAGATACGTTAGTGAATCTTACCCGAAAGGTGTGTCTGCCGTTAACTGTGTGAAGGGGAAAGATGCCGATGGTCCAGGGTCGGACTTTGAGCTTGTCGTTATAATTACTGCCAGTAAACTTAGTCCCCAGAACTTCTGGTGTGTATATAGATAATGACCTTCTTCTACTTAATTGTCATTTCTCTTTGCATCAGCTGTGGTCTCTGCTACTGTTTCCGTTGTTAAATTTATTATCTCCTTTGGTTGTGCAGTAATGGAAGTTGGAGATCTGTATGGAACATTGATTTCCGGGATGAATCCCAGGTGCTTGACATAAAAGGTAAATTGCAGGTAACATTCGCCACTCACTTACTCTCTCTATGTTGGATGTGACTTATGCAAAGCCAATGGAATCTCAGTGAGTTTATTCTAAGTATATTATCTCGTTCACTTCAGGTAGGAGCCCATTATTTTGAAGAGGGAAACGTGGAATTAGATGCAAAAAAAGAGTTCCAGGATTCGACAATATTTCAGGTACCAGGATCCACGTACTTGACTGTACTTTCACTAGGGCTAGTATGTATTTTACACCGCGGTAATAATATAGGGCCTGATACTCAACTTGCGGTGGACTTCTTGTTTACATTTTTTTCAGGCTGCGGATGACTGCTCGATTGCCATAGCCAATATCATCAGGCACCATGAGACAGAGTACCTTGCAGGTCTAGAGGTCTCCAAATAACTTCTCATTGTTATTATTTTCTCCTTCTTTTACCTTTTTGTTCCTGGTGTTGTGATGCTAATCATGCTTCCGACACAATCATTAGGTAGCGTATTCTAAATTACCGGATAACACTTTCAAGGTAATCTCTCTGTTCCAAATCTACCAAATCAATGATTTTAATGGCTGCAACTTACACATGGGCAACGTCCTCATAATGAGTTCCTTGGAGGGTGTGTATTAACTCATCAATCTGGTTTTGGGATTATTTGCAGGATCTGAGGAGGAAGCTTCCGGTGACACGAACTCTGTTCCCATGGCAGAACACTTTACAGTTCAGCCTAACCAGAGAGGTGGAGAAAGAACTTGGACTTGGCAAGTGAGACTAATCATCAAATGTCGAACCTCCTCTTTTCCATTTTGTTACCAAGTTTCTGTGATGAAGAATAGTATCATTGATTATGTTTCTGTTGTGTCTGTGTATTTGTTCCTTCCTTCGTGGTTATGTATTAACTGCATGCAAGTGTTGAATCATTGATAATTTTAGTGGAGTTCAAGAAATGGGTCATTTGGTCGGTATAAACTGCATGCAAGTGCTAGGCAATTGTGCATATGTTTTAAATCACGTTTTGGTCTGTACCAATGTCATTTCAAAGAACAACTCTATCTGATCATTTCTAGTTTACATGTGACTATGCTAATGAATCTGCACAGACATCTCTGCTCCCGAATTTATGATTAAAACTCAAACTCTTAAAATTATCTTGTAAAAGGCTGAAACAATTCTGTCTTTAAAGTGAAAACATCTCAGTCATCGAGTTTGTAGTCATATCCTCTCTAGTTATTCTTAGAGTTGAGAATATTTGAATTTTGGTGTCTTTATTTGCAATTTGAAGGCTGACATACTAACACTTATGTGAAAGATGTTAAGTATAATAACACTAGTGTACCTTTGTGAAAGATCTGAAGCATAAAGGTTTGACATACTCTAATTCATTGAGAAGGTTTATCCATCACAAGTATTTTATTTATTTATAATTATTAATTAATTTATAATTGGTTATTTATTTACTCTCGTCTTCTCCCTTCGTTCTCACATAATCGCTCTTCTCCCCCAAACTCTCCTCCCCTCTTCCCGCCGATCTCCATTTCTCTCCGATTAGGCTATTGAGATGGCAACTCCGATGGTAGAAGACACGTCAAGCTTCGAAGAGGATCAGCTCGCATCCATGTCCACCGAAGATATCATCAGAGCTACTCGCCTCCTCGACAACGAGATTCGAATCCTTAAGGTTCCTATCGATTGCTCTCTCGATCTCTCTTCGCCTTCTTTTTAACTACATGATTGATCCTAGCAACTGCTTAGAATCATAACTAGGTCGTGCTGGAATCTGATTTAGGGTTTGAGTTAATTTAAGTTAATTTTATTACTATTATATCTCAAAGTTTAGATTTTTAACACTACAAGCTACTTATGTCATGGCATCATATGATACTGTTGAAGTTGCTGATCTGTGTGTTTGGGGGATACAGGAAGACGCACAAAGAACGAATCTTGAATGTGATTCGTACAAGGAGAAGATTAAAGAGAATCAGGAGAAGATTAAACTCAACAAGCAGCTTCCTTACTTGGTTGGCAACATTGTTGAGGTAGGTACTCTCTCAACAAGTTTCTTTGCGTTACTTTATGCCATCTTATTGTTGGAGTTGATGTGTAACTGTTCTGTGGTTAGATCTTGGAGATGAATCCGGAAGATGATGCTGAGGAAGACGGTGCTAATATTGATCTTGACTCTCAACGGAAGGGAAAGTGTGTTGTGTTGAAAACCTCTACTCGACAGGTTAGAGTTATTACATTTACATTTTATGTTCCTCCCATTTCATTTCTGAGCAAACCATTTTGCTTGCAGACCATCTTTTTACCAGTTGTTGGCCTTGTGGACCCTGATAGCTTGAAGCCTGGGGACTTGGTTGGAGTTAACAAAGACAGTTACCTGATTTTGGATACTTTGCCGTCTGAGTATGACTCTAGGGTTAAAGCCATGGAGGTCGATGAGAAACCTACCGAAGATTACAATGACATTGGAGGATTAGAGAAGCAGGTTAGTTTTCTCCCATTGTGTTTGTTTTAGAGTATTGACTTTGCTTGTTGTATTAATCTGATTGAGTTTGTTTCCGAGACAGATCCAAGAGCTTGTAGAGGCTATTGTGCTTCCCATGACGCACAAGGAGCGTTTCGAGAAGCTTGGTGTTCGTCCACCAAAGGGAGTACTCTTGTATGGTCCTCCAGGGACTGGTAAAACTTTAATGGCACGTGCTTGTGCAGCACAGACCAATGCCACTTTCCTCAAATTGGCAGGTCCTCAACTGGTCCAGGTATATTATGAGTTCTATATTCAGTCACATCTCCTTGAAATTCGTTACCTTATGTCTTAGGGCTACAATCATATGTGAATGTATGCAGATGTTTATTGGAGATGGAGCAAAACTTGTCCGTGATGCCTTTCAACTAGCAAAAGAGAAAGCTCCATGCATCATCTTCATTGATGAAATCGATGCTATCGGTACAAAACGTTTTGACAGGTACAATGCAAATCTTTTCCTAGTCCATTTTTTTTTCTGTTTCTGCACTTGATCAGCAACTCACTAACTACCATTCTTTGGCTGAGAGTGCAGTGAAGTAAGTGGAGACAGGGAAGTGCAGAGGACTATGTTGGAGCTGCTCAATCAGCTTGATGGATTTAGTAGCGATGAACGTATTAAGGTGAGAGTTTTTATCTATTCTAGACATTAAGCTATATACTGACCCACATTGAAAGAGCAACAATTAAACCTCTCCAAAAATTTCCAGGTGATTGCAGCCACAAACCGTGCAGATATTCTGGACCCGGCACTCATGCGTTCTGGTCGTCTAGACAGGAAGATTGAGTTCCCACATCCAACAGAAGAAGCAAGAGCCAGAATCTTGCAGGTTTGTTTCTCCCATTTTCCGAACATAACCTTTGATAGCTTAAAAGCTCAGATAACTAACGTAAACTGAATTCTAACAGATTCACTCGAGGAAAATGAATGTCCACCCTGACGTCAACTTTGAGGAGCTTGCAAGATCAACCGATGATTTCAATGGTGCTCAGCTTAAAGCAGTTTGTGTAGAGGCTGGCATGTTAGCTCTTCGTCGTGATGCCACAGAGGTAAGAAGATGCAAAAGTCTCGTTACTTTATAACTGAAGTGTTGTCTGGTTTTTAAACATTGAGAGGTTGTCTTGTCTGTTGTTGTTTGATGTGTTTGTAGGTGAATCATGAGGACTTCAATGAAGGTATCATACAAGTCCAGGCCAAGAAGAAAGCAAGCTTGAACTACTACGCCTAATCTCTCTCTCTCTCTCTCTCTCCGCATCAGTCTTTCAACTAGTTTTTACATTCCGATTTGGATATTTTCATGTTTTCGAATCAGGATCTCTCTTTCTTTATCGAAATACATAAAATTGTGTTCACCTTCTTTTTCTAAAAGAAGTGGAATCTACTTCTCTCATTTCACGTCATTGCATTCACATGCATGTTACAGGAAAACAAAAGGATTTTTGATACAGAAGCAACGATTTTCTTTTAAAATGAACATATATGAATCTGTGGGTGTTGAACATGGTAAATATGAACGCCCACCTAACTGAATCGGACCTAAATACAGCATATGCGTTTGATTGCAAGAAAATATTTAATTTTTGGTTAATAATAATTTTCTTAACAATACGAACCTAACCAAACCAAATTCAAAACCAGTTGTTAAATATTAGAGCCAAAAATGGAAAGTTAAGTTTAATTACATTTATCAAGGTTGTATTAATAATGTACGTAAATGGTAATAAAGGAAAAAAAGAAAAAGAAAAAGAAAAAAAAAAGTAAATAGCTAAGGGAGCCGCTGATGTGAAGTGGTGAGAATAAATCTGAGCCGTTCAATTTATAAAAAAAGTGTTCAGAGACATCGGTCACTGCTTCTACCCGCAACCCAATCTTTTCTTACACAAAACATCACGCCAGCAAATAAAAAGAAGAACTTCAAAAAAAATAAAAATATTCTTAGTTGCCTTCTTCTGGGGTCTCTGGTGGTGGTGACGATCGGAGAGAGAGAGAGTTCATTGATTCATTAAGGGATTAAATTTAATATTAATCGAATCGAAAGGAATTGGAGAGAGAGAGGGGGGATTGAATTTGTGTTGTGATTCGAGCTCTCGACGAAAACCGGTTTTGAGATTTGAATTTGAATTTGAATTTGGCGTTGTGATGGGTTTAGGAAACAAATTCAATTTCGGAGATGATAATGATCTCCCCGAAGAAGGAGATGGTATTGGATCGGTTGCGTGTTCGATTTGTCTCGATACGGTCGCTAAAGACGGAGATCGAGCCTGGGCTAACCTTCAATGTGGCCACCAGTTCCATCTTGGTACGTTCCCGGTTTGTGTATATATTATTGATAAGCTATTTAAAAAAAAAACATTCGATTGAAATTGTTCCTTGTTGTCTGAAAAAAAGTATCCAGATCTGCTTTTGTTTTGTTTCGGTTTTATTTGTTAATCATGGTTCTGTTACATTGTAATGATCATGGATTGGTAATTGAGTTTTGGAACTGATCTATTCATGTTCATGATCTGCTCGAATTTTTGATGTGTGGTTATCATTGTTTAAGGTAGTGGTTAGGCTCTTTGCAAAGGATTATTGTTTAGGCGGGGGGCCTACACTGCTTTTTTTTTAACGCCTGGAAATATTGTTTCCTTTAGATCCGATTGGCGACGGATTTTTAGAACATTGTTGATTATGGATATAGCATCAGTTACAGCTTGGTCACTACTTCATCAGAATGCCAAGTTTGTTTGATTAATTGATCTCTTTTAGTTCATTCTGTTTAAATGCATCTATTAAGCTCAGAATATTCGCCATATTTGTGTTTCAGCATTGTGTGCTCTTCACTAATATCGTTTCTTAACATGAGTCTTTTGCTTCTTAATCTTGGATCTCTAGTTACGAGTATCTTTATGTGTTTATATATATATATATATTTCTAAAGTTGAATAAATTTTACTGATAGTTTGAGAGGACTATCCATATGAATCGATGCAAGAGAGCTTTCTAGCTACAATCTGAGATTTCCTCCAATGTATTTAAATGCCATATGTTTGGTTTCTTATGCTGTTTCACAAAGCCATATGTTTTCTTTTGTGTTTTTTTTTTAGATTGTATTGGCTCAGCTTTCAATGCAAAGGGGGTGATGCAGTGCCCAAACTGTAGGAAAGTAGAGAAAGGCCAGTGGCTTTACGCTAACGGTTGCCGTTCACACCCTGAATTCAATGTCGAGGATTGGGTTCACGAAGAAGAGATTTATGATATCGGAAGTTACTCTGAAATGGTAAATGTTTGGTGTAACCCTATCCATCCCAAGCTCTGTTACTTCACACTCCTCTCCCCACACATGCTTATGTTCCATGTGGAAAACACTTGTGTTTATGTATCTTTGCCAGGCTTTTGGAGTTCACTGGTGCCCATTTGGAGGTTCAGCGCGTCTTCCTTCTTTCGAGTAAGTAATTACAATATACTTTTGCTTCTATTTCCAATAAAAAAATGGGACCTTATGTGCTGATGAATCTCTCTTCAACTCTGTAGGGATGGAGACTTTTCGCCGAGTTCATGTAAGACATTGTCAAATTGGTTATTTCTCATTTTTCTCCCTTTATCCTATTCTCAGTTTTCTGTTTATTGAACTATTGAGTATGACATAATGGCACAGATCACGATCTCTTGAACCAGCAAGGTTACTTTACAGAACCAGCAGCTCCAACAGCGGGTCACCCATGTCCATACGTAACCTACATTGGCCCGGTTCATTCGTCTTCCTCAAGCCCTGGCGGTGCTACAGACAATCCAAGTTTCACTAGCCTCTGGAACACCGGCTCATCGAATTCCCCTGAAGTCCCAACTCCTTATGGTTTCCCTGTGGATCCACACTATCACGGCTGGGAGTATCACTCACCTCCACCCCCACCGCCACAGCACTTCTCTGCTTCTGGCCCTCACGTGGGCAGCCCAACTCACCCCACGCCTCCACCAGCTGCTGCAAGAACTTCCCGAGCCAACGGCTCGGAAGCTATCAGACCAAGACTGCCGCAGTTCATGCGTCCATCATATCATGGTCACAGGTACATATTTTCTCTCTTAACTTCAAAATTGAGTTGCTAAAGTCTATCTTTGTAACTTTCTTGAATTTACAGTTCCAGTGGTAGAGCGGGGAGCTCGGTGGCATCTGTTCCGAGGACTCCACCTTTTCCAGGAAGCAACGTTCGGACCAGAGACAGAACACAAGCTCTTCAAGCCTATTACCAACAACAGTCTTCTGCTCAGTCACACCAACCAGACTCACCTATAGTCTCTCGTGTGCCTGTATTCCCCTCTGGACGGAGGCCGAGTAGAGGATCAACTTCATCTTCTTCTGATCAGGCAGGCGGGAGCGGGTTTCTCCGGTTTAACATATGGGAGAGAGAACCTTATATGCAACAACCGCAACAAGCTTACCCGGTTAACCAGATGGACAGAGAACCATCCATTTGGGCATCTCCCTTCAACGAAGCAGCAGCGAGCTTCCATCAGAGGCATGGAGGTGGAGGACCACCGTAAGAGTTTGAGTCAGTTGCCGGCGAGGGCAATTCTCAATACCATAAAGGAAAAAAACATTGGGAAGTTGATATTTGATAAAACATGAAAACACTCACTGCATGCTCTCATGTTATGTGATGAATTGATAATATAAGAACACAAATGAATGGTATGTATTGTTTGGAGAGAGACTGCTTCCCCTGTTTGTTGGTGGCCGTGCGGTTCGAGCCGGTTTGGGTCTGGTTTAGATCCGGGTAGCGAAGAGGTCGTTGGATATTTGTTTTTCTTGATGTAGGTAGACACTGGGTATCCAAGTGAATTACCCTACTGCAACATTTTCCTTCTTAATATGTTAATTTTTAAGTAAAATGGTGTTTGTTTTCTATGCGAAATGAAATGAATGTCAAATTACCATATACTAAAGTCTATATATGTAACAACAAAATAGAATAATCTAAGCAACATCTGTGTATATGTTCATGAGGGATTGTTCTGTGTTGTAATCTCTGTTACATATGACATATGGCACACGAGATTAAGAGATATGCACGGAAAATAAATCAATTTTTAAACTGAACTACTACACTAGCGTTGGTGATTACAAGAAAAATATAACTTGTTACAAAATAACTAGGTGATTTTCCCGTGCTCATGCACGGACATAAATATTTATAAAATAAATATATTATAATAGTTGATTGATATTTATTTTAACTTTTATATTAATTTATAGTTTTTATGTATAATTTATATTAATAATATTATATTATTTTAGATATATTATATTTAGTCAGTTTTATCATTTGGAAATATATACATATATATATATATATTGGATTCTATCTATTTCTCTGAATTCAACTATAATCTTTTTTATTCTAAATATCTTTAAAAAAAAATTTTTGTTTTAAAATATCTTAAATTTTTGATTAATTGTTTTATTTATATTTTTGTTGGTTGTTATCTTATAAATATAAGTATATCTTAGTAAGATTATGTATTTTAAGATTTTTTGTGCTTAAAACGAAAAAAATAAAAACTAAAGTGTCTGATTCTAAATTACATACATAAGTAATAATAATTTTTTGGAAGCTTATGAACACATATCAATATTTAAAATAATTAAATATTTTATAAATTTTAAATAATTTATGCCTTAGATTGATTAGATGGTAAACTGAAATTTATTTTAAATAATTTAAAAAAATAAGGAATTCTGATTTGCTTCAGTATTTTGATTATGGTTATATTAAATTCCACAAACATAAAAACAAAAAATTAAAAATTAAAAGAGTTATTAAGAAAACAGATCATTTTAACTATTAAAATATAATATATCTATCTAATTAAATTATATAGTGTTATGATTTTTTAAAAGAATTGTAGTTATTTGATCAAAAGATGTTTATTATTAAATTTATTTTTATTTATTTTTTAATATGTCTTAAAATATGCAGTAAAAATGTGATTGTTTTTGAGAAATTATATTATATAAGTAAAATATAATTTATATTTTTTTTGTAACTCTAAGATATTATAATCAAATAAATATACTAATTATAATTTTTTTCTATTAAACATATACCAGTTTATGTTACTTAATTATTTTATGTAATCATCTAATAAAATAGATAGATATATACAAAAACTAATTACTTTGAAAATGTATATTTTATTGGTTAAAATATTTTTTTAAAGAAAAATATTTTTTTTTTAAATCAAGATTATTTCTATGAACTTTTTTTATGAAAACACATAATATACAAATATTTTTTTCAACTAAGAAGATATAGATATAAATTATAATTACTTAAAAAGTATAATTTATGTTATTTAAAAATATATTTAAGTTAAATATTACTATTTTGTAAATTTTCCTTTTTTTTATGAAACCATATTATATAAAGTATACTTATTTTTTCGTTTTTAAATGGTTTTGTAAATTTTATAAATATTTTCTTTTGTTTTATATTGTTATTTGGAAGATTTTAAAAAGGAAATAATAATATTTAAATATATTTTTAATTTATTAGGGGTATCATAGTAAACAACCAGCGTAAGAGTTAATGTGAACGCGACACATAGGAAAGTGACTTCTCAAATAATATTATAGAGATTGAGCTTTTATCCCAGTACAAAAGTTTTGGGTTGATTTCGAGATTTCTAAAATATTAGAGGGAATTTATGTTATATTTAAAAATATAAAATTAGGGTTATAAGAAGCACTTTAAAAGAGCAAAAACCCTAGCCATTTTTTGTTTCCCGTCTCCTCTCTCTCGTTCAAGATCTTAAAAAAGGCGCCGCTCGTTGTCAAGGTACGCTGTTACCATCTCCCTTTGATAGAACGCTCTTCAGTTTTCTCACTATAGTTTAACCTTTCTCAAGGTTTACCTCATGTTCAATCTATTGAGATGTGTAATTAAAGAGGTTAGTTTAGAAACTCGCATGTAACAAGTTTCGATTCTTACCAGATCTCACATGTTTGGAAATGACATATAGGATTCATTACCTGTTTCTAAACACCTTGTCTGTGTCCAGACATGTATGTTTTTGGCTTGTATGTGTGATTTATAAACACTCATGTTCTGTTTTTTTTTGGTTTGTACAGAAAAAAATGGCACGTGGAGTTGCAGCAGTTGCCAAGGGAAAGAAGAAGGGAGTGTCCTTCTCCATTGATTGCTCGAAGCCTGTCGATGACAAGATCATGGAGATTGCTTCCCTCGAGAAGTTCCTTCACGAGAGGATCAAAGTCGGTGGTAAAGCCGGTGCACTCGGTGATTCTGTCACAATCACTCGTGAGAAGAACAAGATCACTGTCTCTTCTGATGGTCAATTCTCCAAGAGGTACGTACACTTCCAACATACTCTTCTAGGTTTTGATCTTGAGATGATAGAAGGCTAATAGATATTGAATGTAGGATCCAAACAACTTATTGCGTTCAAGCAATTTAACATTTCTAACTTTTTTGGTTTACGACTTTGTGTGTTTGCAGGTATTTGAAGTACTTGACAAAGAAGTACTTGAAGAAGCACAACGTGAGGGATTGGCTTAGAGTGATTGCGGCCAACAAGGACCGTAACCTCTATGAGTTGAGGTACTTCAACATTGCTGAGAACGAGGGCGAGGAAGAAGACTAGAAGAACTCTACTCGTGTTACCTGTTTCTGTTGTTTTGGTTTCTGCTCTTTCTCAATACAATTTATCTTGGTTCTGTTTTTTTTTTGGCAGATCTTATTTAGTTTTGGTTGAACTAGACTCTGTTTTGTTTAAGAAGGGAATATTTTGGCAAAGATCGTATGATTTAAGAATCTCTGAGTAAGGTTTAAATTATTAGGGACGAAACTCATTCAGAGTAACTATTTTGACAGAATGTATTCCGAAACATATCGGTTTCAAGATTCTATACTAACAAGTGCTTTGATCCCACGCCTTTACACGTTGTTTATGATATAAGTGAAAACGTTACAAGAAAAAGTTAATGTGTATGAAAGGTTAGGCTTTACTGTGGAGGAAGTATGGGGTATGATCAACACGTGGCCTTACTTTCTCAAGTTCTTCGAGAAGTTAACTCAGAGATTTGAAACCCTCAAGTGAGGATTTCAGTGATGAAGAAGCGTTCAGATTGCATGTGTGCATCAGAGGGGAAGATAACAAACTGTGGAGAAACGTTTCCTGCGATTCAGCCGAGATGAGTTTGTGGTGATGGTAAGTGTTTTCCTACGTGCTTTCTGTTATCTGCAGACACGGTGAGAAGAAGAAGGTTGAGTTGCTGGTGGAGAAGATGAATTGGTCACTAAAGGATGAGGTTGTGAGCCCTCCTGTTCTTGGATACAGCTTGGAGCTCTTTGTGTCCAAAGGAGTGGGAAATGGAATCCCTTCAACGTCATTCTTGATGTGTTTACAAAGTGGTTTGTGATGAAACATGACAAACTGGTGAATGAATTGATGGCCATATTCATAGGAGGGGCAGTCTCACAGACAACACCACAAATCACAACGATGAGAACCGTTAAGGTGAAAGAAAGTTTGTGAAAATGTATTTGATGATACAAGTAAACAGAAAAAAAGCAAAAGAGGACATGCACCCTAACTTGAATGAATAATCATAGGAACAAAAAAAACACATGAGATGAAAATCTCCAGAAGAAGTGAAGAGAAGTTTCTGCAAAACTATACACAAATACTATTTGGATTACAGCGCTTTTGTTTTCCTCTCTCTCTCTGTTTTGTTTCTTCTTTGATGGCTAAGTAAAGTAGTCTTTGAGCTTCTCTTCTCCATTGCAGTTAACCTACATCTGAAGTAATGCATATATAGCCTAGCTTGAGCTCATGAAACCAAATCTCAAGGGAACAAGCAGTACTTGAGTTTCAAGACTTGCCCATTTTTGGTACCTGGATAAAACGTAAAGAAAGCCATGTGTTAAGCTATACCAATCATATTATAAGAAGAAGGGCTTCTTGGTCTTAAACTCATTGCTGAAAACAAAACAAACCTTCTTGAGAGGATTACTGCTAGAAGATGGGGCAGGTTTCAGAATCTCAAAAGAGCAAACAAGAGATTGGTCCACACTCAATAATGCACCTGCATTGTCAAACTCTCCACCATAGTTTGGAGCTGAGAATATAGTTACTAATCTCCTTTTAGCAAAAAACTCATACCCATCTTCCACCACCTGCAAAACAAACCAAACTAAATCACAAACCTATCTCAACCAAATTGTCACAGACTTGATTCTAAATTTACCTGATGGCCACGGCAAATGAGGTCAAGATCATTCTTATCCAAAAACTCAGCAACCACATCAGCACCAAACGTGGAAGAAATACCTCTATCACTATCAGACCATCCTTCACTCTTCTGATCAGGATCAGACCAAAGCAAATCACAAAGAAGACCATTGTCTGGAATCTCAGTAGGTCTTTGAATCTCCCTAATCTGCTCCAAATTCTCCAGCTCCGGAGACAACCCTCCGTGCATACACAAGATCTTATCATCAATGAGAGCAGCTACAGGCAAACAGTTGAAGCAGTCGGTGAATATCTTCCATAGCCTGACATTAAATCTCCTTTTGCATTCGTCGTAGAAACCGTAGATTCTGTTGATCTTAGCGTCTTCATGGTTACCTCTCAGGAGAAAGATCTTGGATGGGTAACGGATCTTGTAAGCCAAGAGAAGACATATTGTTTCTAGGCTTTGTTTGCCTCTGTCTACGTAGTCTCCAAGGAAGAGATAGTGTGCTGAAGGAGGGTAGCCTCCGTATTCAAATAATCTCAAAAGGTCTTGGTATTGTCCATGAATATCACCTGATCATAGATTCAAAAACATACCATAAGTAATAGTCAATAAGACATAAACTGGTAGAATTGTATGTGATTGTAATATTTCTCATAATAACATTAAAAATGCATCAAAATCAAATCTGTTGAAGAGAGAGTACCGCAGATGCGAATGGGGGCATGGAGATCGAGGAGATTAGGCTGAGAGAGGAAGATTTGTCTGGCGTTAACGCAGAGTTGACGGATCTCGATCTCGGAGAGCTGAACCTGTTTGCCTCCTTTGCCTTCTAATAATCTTCTTATGATATCATCCACCATACTTATCTCCATCACAGCTTCCATTGTCGTCATCCTTCTTTTCTCACCAGAATTAGAACAAAAGGGTTTGCGCCAAATCAGGCAAGGGAAAATGGGTCGTTTATGGTTTAAAGGATTGATAACGAGGCGATCAGAAAGTCGGAAGCTTTTTTTTTTTCCCTGGAAAATGCGGGAAAGACGAAAGAAAGAGACAAAACAAAGGGGGAAGAGAACAGAAGTAAATCTTGATTAGTCTTATTACTCAAGTGGATCAAATGGGAAAATATTAGAATAGAACAAATCCGAATTTAAGATTATTTCAGAACAGAGAAACAAAAAAGAAAAATTCAGCTTTAGAAGGTTGAGGGGGCAGAGAAAGAGATGGTGTAGATGGGTCTTCTTCTCTCTCTATCTCTCTCTCTTGTCTGAAAATTTTGCAATTCTATTTTCAACGCAGTTTTCGTTTTTAATAGCTACTGATTACATTTAAGAAGTCGGTCAAATAGTAAGGTTACAGATGGAATGGTGTCATTAAGAATATGAAATGGATCATTGTATCTAATGGACTTAATGCTGCAAATGATTTTCTTTTGTCAAATCTAAAAAATAGATGGAGGAAAGAGTAATTAGTGAAACCTTCTAAGGCAAGAATATGAGTTAGTGGACGGTGATGGAAGATCCAGCCTAAAAAGATGAGACGTGGAGGATTCTCATTGGAAATGGTCAAAGTAAATTGCTGTCGGGCGAGAAACCGCGTCTTTTGAAAAGTTCGGTTTTATCGTTAGAGGTAAGCACGCACGTGTGAGATTAATCATGCTTCTCCCTCGTTAATACTCCCTCTGTTCCTAAAAGATCCATATTTTAGTTTTTCACACTTTTTAATAAAACACAATAAATTTGTATAGTTTTTTGTATTTATCTTCTTTCCATAATTTTAAACCAATCAAAAATCAATTAGTGCAATTAAGTTTTTTGAAGTTTACAATTATTTAATAAAACATACATTGAAAATGTAAAAAATGGATCTTTTAGAAACAAAATTTTTTTCTAGAATATATATCTTTAAGAAACGGAGGGAGTATATTTAAGAGAACATTGTTATACCTTTTACCTTTATGATAATTAGGCCTGGCCATTTTACCCGTACCCGAAGATCCGACCCGGAATCGACCCGAAAAAGTGCAGTTCAGGTATGAACCGAACCGATCATTTTATTCTATTGGGTTTTGAGGTGGAGGACCCGCAGGTTTTGGACCCGAACCGACCCGAACCCGAGACCCGATGGGATACCCGAAATATCTTAAACTTCTAGTATATATTATGTGTATATATATGTTTTAGTATTTTTATAGTATTATGAGTATTATTTTATGTTTCGGATTTGGGTTTTCGGATATAATTACAGGATTTAAGTAAAATTTTAGGTTTTTAAAAATATAATTCGAATAATCAGTTAAAGTTTTGGATATTTTTATGTCTTCGGGTCAGATTTTGGGTAAAATTTCAGGTATTTTTTGGGTATTTAAATATTTTTTTCTGGTATTTTTTGTGTGTTTTAGATAATTTTTGGGCCATACCCAATATGACCCAACCGAATCCGAACCGATAAATTCTAATTACCCTATTGAGTCCAACTATATAAGACCCGAACGGACCCGGACCCGGTAGGAGCCGAACTGAACCCGAACCGACAAAATCTAATTACCCTATTAGATCTAAATATCTAAGACCCGACGGACCCGGACCCGACATGACCCGACCCGAACCCGATCCAAACCGGAAAATGCGCAGGCTTAATAGTAGAGTTATTTTTATACTTTGAATAATTATTTTGATCGAGTAAATGTTAAACTCAATTGAACCTTGATTGATGTGATTAATATAATATTTTATATATTGATTTATAGGCTTATAGATTATAGCTAACAACAATGTTGCACCTAGTAAGTGGTTCAGTCCTTTTGTCAAGACACCATAATCATTAACATAATACAACACATCAAACTGACATTGAAAAATTATTAATTAAGTTATTATAAAATAAGTAATAAGTTGTTGATTTATTGGTAAATCTATACTATTAAAAGAGAAGGAATTTTAAAATATCTACTTATATAAGTTGTTTGGACCCTTTCATTTTTAATCTAACCTATACATATAATCAAATATTATAACTAACCCCTATTATATAGCAACAAAATAAAATCATCTAACATCAAACATTTTAATATAACTTACAATTGTTTATTAACCTTTCAACTATGTACATATGTTTGTTACAAGTTCTAAAAGGTGCCTGTTTACTGATTAATTACACATTAACAAGGTGATTGGAGATCTACCGTGGTTAAGAGAAGCTGATCGGGAGCTTAATCCGGTGTAACGGTTCTTCCGTGTTGGCCGTAGATATGGAAAAGGCGATGAGTAATAACTCAAAACTAAGGCAGTCTAATCTGAAAGCTACACCCGATGTAGCTTCGGCCAGTGGATTAACAAATTATGCCGTTTACAATTTATTTCAAGTAGTAGAATGAGAGGTTGGGTTGAAGAACTTCACGATGAATCTGTCTGCAAAAATGTTTAAACCTAAAAAAAATGAACGAGGAAGACAAAGACATAACTACCATTTTGCCACTCTTTCTTATATTTTGACCTTATATTTAATAACCAAGATATAACATATATAGCTACAAAATATTATAAACAAGAAAAAAGAATATACTATAGATATGCTATTAATCCACTAACTTTATAACTTTAATATATTTCAAAACTTATTTACAAATTAGCATATATAACATATTATATTTTGTCATCTTACATTACATAGTTTCAAATATTCATAAAATCAAATTTAATAAGAACACTTTAGAAAACCATCTGTTAAAAATAAAATTATATATTTTACATTAAATTATTTTTTCTTAAAAAATCAGAGTAATTTTCAATTAAAATAAATTTTAAAAAACTATTAAAATCTTACAAATCTATATTATCAAATTAACCAAAAAAACTGTCAAGTAAATCTTAAGTGTCAGCAGGTTAACAAATGTAGTTCTTATTTTATGTACAAAAACAATAAAACGATAGAGTAGGTTTAGGTATTCGGTTATTGGTGTCAGGTATGTATCGTTACCTTTCGGTTATGAGTTCAGCAGGTCCTAGACCTTTGAACATTACTAGATATTTGTAAATAATAGGTTTGTTTTCAGGTCATTTTTTAGGATTAAATCGGAGTGGATCCATAACTCAAATACCTATAATTTTGGAGTATTTAATACACAAAAAATAATCAAAGTTGCCAAAAATTCAAAAATATACTGAAACTTTAAAATACCAGAAATCCCAAATAAATACCCAAAAATATTCAAATAAATATCTAAAATATCAAAAATTTATCTGCAATCTAACATGATGAACCGAAAACAGCAACAAAAAAAAAAATACATTCTAAGTACCCAAAGTATATTTTCAGCATTTTGGAATTTCACCCGACATCTGAAACTATAATCGAAAACGAGAACCAAAACTAAAAAAAAGTGTAATACCGAAAACTATCTGAAAAATCAAATATACCTATTATACACAAAAAAATCAAGTACTTTGGTTAGCCGATCGAGTTTTGGGTAGGATCCGGACTCAAAACCGACCCAAAGGCCAGATAAAAAAAATCTAATATGTACTTGCCTAGACCTAAACCCAATCGCACCTATATTTTTGAGTCGATTTCGGTTATATAACTTTGTAGCATAATAATAAACGATAATTTTAGAATACTAATTCACAAATTTTGTTTACAATCCAAAGAAACACCCGCGCTTTCGAAGCGCGGGTCATAATCTAGTGAATGTTTAATAGTCACTCCGCTATTTGGATTCAATTCTTGGTGAGAGAGACGATTTACATTGTTTGTTTGTTTTTTTCTTCTCCATGTCAATTAATTGGTTTGAACCATAACACAATATGGCCCTAGATTAGACATCAAATTGACATAATATAAGAAAAATTAAAGAGCCTCTAAAGCATGTCTAAATGTTCAAAGATGATCTTAATTATATTGGGCTTAAAGGGCCCATATTGGAAATAAGTGAACCCTAAAATTGAATCGAGTCCGTTACTTTGATATAAAACCTAAAATTCATCACTTCTCTTGCTGAAGCTTCGACCGCGGCGGCACCTCATCACCGGACGCTACAATGGTACATTTTAGCTTTCTCTGTCTCTCAATCTCCGTTTCTCATTTCCTCCCTTGCTACTTTGAGTTTGGTTGGTTCTGAGATCAGCTCGGTCGTGTTTGCAGGGTATCGATTTGATCGCTGGAGGTAAGAGCAAGAAGACCAAAAGGACAGCTCCAAAGTCTGACGATGTCTACCTCAAGCTCACTGTCAAGGTCCAAAATTTAACAAACAACAATCTTTGTCCTTTGAAGTGTTTTCTGTTTGGTCTGAATGTGAGATTTTGATTTTTTTTGTTTTTGAAATTTTGCAGCTTTACAGGTTTCTGGTAAGGAGAACTCAGAGCAAGTTCAATGCAGTGATCTTGAAGAGGCTTTTCATGAGCAAAGTCAACAAAGCTCCTCTTTCTCTATCTAGACTCGTTGAGTTCATGTCTGGCAAGGTTCCATTTTCTTCGAACCCTCTTATCTCTCTGTAACTTGGTGTAGAAGTTAGTCCTAGGTCATGCTAACTCTGTTTCATTTTTTCAGAATTCATGCTTGTGAGTTTTGAATGTGATTTTTTTTTCATATTGTGATATCATAGGAAGATAAAATTGCTGTTTTGGTTGGAACCATAACCGATGATTTGAGAGTACACGAGATTCCAGCCATGAAAGTTACTGCCTTGAGGTTCACAGAGAGAGCCAGAGCTCGTATTGAGAAAGCTGGTGGTGAATGCTTAACCTTTGACCAGCTTGCTCTCAGAGCTCCTTTGGGACAGAACACTGTAATTTCTCTCAACTCAAACAACTCTTTTTGGTGTAAATGATATAAATGTGTAACATTTACTTTGTTCTTGTGTGTAGGTTCTTCTTAGAGGACCTAAGAACTCACGTGAGGCTGTGAAGCATTTTGGCCCTGCTCCTGGTGTGCCACACAGTCACTCCAAGCCATATGTTCGGTCCAAGGGAAGGAAGTTCGAGAAGGCCAGAGGAAAGAGGAAGAGTCGTGGATTCAAGGTTTAAGAACATTGTCTGCGTCTTTGAACTTGATTCTGAGTTGTTGTTGCTTCTCTTTCGTAATTGGATTTTTGTTAGAGAATTGTACTTTTTGGTGCCTTGTTTCAGACAATATCTTTAACTTCGTGTCTACTGGATTCGACAGTGAGCTGATTACAACACTGAGCTTTTACTATGTTCTTAACCTCATGGCCAAGGTTTCTAAGATGGATTAGGAAATCTCTCTTAAGAACAATTTGTGAACTAATATATACTACATAATGGATGACATAATTATAGATTTATAAACAACGTATTTAATGTACTGTGATATTAAACATGAGTTTACAAAGCTAAACATTAAAATCTCAAACAATTTGTTGTAGATCAATAATTCCTGAATTCTTGAAGGTTATGCAAATTTTGTTGATTCCAGGTTTTCATGAATTAGGGTAAGAAAAAAAACACACAGTATATGGAATTCTTAATGGATCTTTTAGTTAGACAATGCAATCTCATCTTCTGGTGGAGAAACCGGGGTAGCTGCTGGAGAAACCGGGGCAGCAGCAGTAGCACTTGTCCCCGTTGAAGTCATCCTGATAGAACCTTCTGGGGCAGCTGCTGGAGAAACTGAGCCAGCACCACTTTCAGGGGCAGCTGCTGGAGAAACCGAACTAGCACCACTTGAAGCCATCCTGATTGAACCTTCTGGGGCAGCTGCTGGAGAAACCAAACTAGCACCACTTGAAGCCATCCTGATTGAACCTTCTGGGGCAGCTGCTGGAGAAACCGAGCTAGCACCAATTGTATCAGTTGAAGCCATCCTAATAGAACCTTCCGGGGAAGCTGCTGGAGAAACCGAGCCAGCACCACTTGTACCAGTTGAAGCCATTCTGATAGAACCTTCCGGGGCAGCTGCTGGAGAAACCGAGGAAGCACCACTTGTGTCTGTGAAGGTGTTGGTACCTGAAGCAGCTGAGCCGCTTGGGGTGGTGGTGGTTGCAGCGTTAGGGTTGGCAGCCAAGAGGCCAGGAGTGTAAGGAACACCTTTGCCAGGAACCCAAAGGTTACCTTGGATGTACTGATCCGCTGTGAACTTTAGTATCTCTTCGTTACTCAATGTCTTGATTCCGGCCCAAGTAACCCGGTTTGCAAGTCCTGCTCCAGGTCCTGAGTTCTGAGCTTCAGAGTAGAACAATGTGTCAAGACCAAAGTTTCCGAGCCACGGCATCCATCCTTCCGGCTGGACGAAATCCGGAAGGAAACTGTTCATGAAAATAGTCCTTGAGAACTCTCTCCATGGCCTTCCAAGATAGGTTTTGCTAGTTGTCTTGACCGCCAAGTAATCTGGCTCCCCGGCTATTGTACAACCTTGGAACACAAATCCGGTTGGCTCCCTTGCGTCAGTACGACCGTGGGCTGTGATAGGGCATGCCTGGTTCGCAAGTGGCTTCCTCACCAACAAAGTACAGTTCTGGAACACAGCAGCCGCGTCTCCGAAGAGGAAATCAATAGTGCCTGAGATGGTACAATCACGGTAGAACTGACGTTTGGTGTGAGCGTAGAGGGTGTCTTGGTAGCCATCGAATCTACAGTTGAAAAAAATGGACTCGTCTGCTTGAACCCTAACCGCAACAGCTTGATGTTTGGTTGGCCCGGCAGTGTTAGCAAACCCAATGTTCTTGGCAATGAAGTGGTCTCCAACAATGGCTGCAATAACCATTACTTTCGTTAACATATATATCATCTAAAAAATATGTATAAGCTGATGAGTAAATGTAACGTACCAACAGTGCAGGTACGGTAGGTAGTGACACCGTCCTTGTAATTCTTGCTACCGGAAATGACTGTTTTCTCAGGACCATCACCGATGAACACGAGATGAGTCATACTCTTGTTGATTTGAACATACTCCTGGTAGGTTCCTGCCTTAATGTAAACCACGAAGGTCGTGTTCTTCTTCTTCGGTACGTTCTTCAACGCCTCGTTGATCGTTGTGTACTGACCACTCCCGTCCTGAGCCACCACTATATCAGGCTTAGCATCGGAATACGCAGCAGCAGCCTGCAAGAGCCTACGCCCTCTCTGGTCGACCCACGAGGGGATCTCCTGAGACAACAGCCTACGGCTGTTGAACTCAGGAATCTGCATCTGTCCCAAGTAATTCGACATTTCACTGATGATTGCTAGTCCGTTGCGTGTCAACTCGATAGCGGTTTTCAACGCTTTCCTCATGGTCTCCCCGGCATTCCCCTGAGTCCCTTCGAACCCTTCGAGACAAGTCTCCTCGTGGCTTATCGCCGCGCTGAGCCAGATCCTCAGATTGATCAAAGCCTCGTCGAGTAAATGGAACTCAAACTTGCCAAGCTCCTCGAAAGAGTTGTTAAGCTCACCCAAAGCGTAATCCATCAGCTCCTTGCATTGGTCAAGAGCCATCTTCGTCCTTGGATCCTTCTGAAGCTCCATCATGGTCTGCGACTTGTTGGCCGCGGCTGATATCTGCTTCATCGTTGAGCGAAACGCTGTTTTAACCAACTCGACCGGGTCGGTCGCGTTGTTACCGTTCTTCATTAGACTGTCTTCACATGTCTTTTTGTAATCCGTTGGTGCGCATACGTCTTTGACGGCTTTGACGGAAGAGTTTATCTGTCCGTCAGAGTCATCGTTGCCTTCGTTCTTGTTGAGGCTGACACCGACGGTAACGGCGACCACCATGGAGATGAGAAGAACAGAGGAGATTGAGATGATAACATACCTTCTCTTCCTCTTGGAATCATCGTCGTACCCGTACGACATGTTTGTATTTTTTTTTTATTGACTTCTATTAATCAAATTGTTTTTGAACTTGAACAGCTCTTATATATATTGTTTTTTTAAAAAAAAGATAAGAGCTGTTCGTTATTCGTTTGAGAAACAAGAATTGTGACGACTCCTTCGAAGGTTACGTAGCCTCCTTAGGAGTGTGTAAGTTTTTCATTATTGCCGAGATGGTTTATTTATAACGGAAAAGGACAAATTAAGAGTTCCGTTATTCTGGTTGCTCTGTTTTATGAGGCTTGGCGGGAAATGCGGTAGTGAGGAAAATGTTGAGAAAATGAAAAATAGACTTGTGGTAGTTTATTGTCTTCTCTGTTTCTTCAATAGTTTCTAAATATGGAAAATAATTAATCTTATTTTGGGATTCTAAACCTCATTGTTTGTTTGTTTTCTTACCAGTCTATATCAGTGTCTTAATCGTGTTTTAAATATGTTCGTTCTAATTTTGATTGGAAACTACCAAGACTAAAATTCATAAACAATTACATATTGAAGATCAAACAGTCACTATATACAATATCTCTTAGTTAACTTGAGGGTTGACTGATCTATACATGTTAGCCATTCAAATTTTAGAGGTCAAGACTAGTGTTTCATCTCGTTATGTCAGTATCCAACTTGCAAACGCCTTCCCTATAGATCATGGAGTTGCAAATAAAACACAAAATAATTATTTCATTAGAACATTTAAATCAGTCTTATTTATTTTCTCTTAATAGTATAGTATCAACGGTAAAAGAAGATCACCCCTCGTACAAAACACCCATGTTTGAACTCCGGCTACAAAGTTTGAGACAAGTAACCAAATAGTTTAGTTTCATCTATCACACGGCCAATTAATCTGGTCCAGTATTCTTAAACATTTTTTTAGTATTCTTAAAATCTGCATAATAAATGTTTTAAGATCGAAATCACGGAAAAAAAAAAAATCGAAATCACCCACCCATTTAGTCCATGCATCCCTTAGCATTAATAACATCGGTTTTGAGTTTGAGGTTTTGATGTCTTGCATATTTTCATTTTATCTATTCATCCATATACATTCTAATCATATTGACTAGGATTTAGCCATTTCTAGGTTACATTTTGCATACATAAGTTCTTTTCAGGTAATGGAGTATCTTTAGAGTTCTTGGAGGTGATTGAGTGGATTTGAGGTCCAAAAAAGGAGTTTGAGATGAGTTTTGCTCGAACAGAGGCCAGAGCGAGAGCGACACCCGAATGCCGCTCCACGAAATCGCTCCATCCCCTCATCAGAGCGACCAATTAGAACGACACTTGAAGGTTGCTCTGATCTTAGAGCGACGTGTGGAGCGACACATATGAGCCGTTCGCGTTTTCATCATGACGAGAAGCAGAAGATGGCTTGGGAGCGAGGTCCAGGAGCGACCTGGCCAAGTCGCTCCAGCGCTGAAGCGACCTCCCAGAGCGACGCGGCTGACGCGGCTAGGTCGCTGCGTGCCTTTTGTGTACGAAAAACTTGTTTTATTTTGGGACATTTTGGTCATTTGCTTTATGTTTTGACATTTTGGAAAACCTAAGTACTCTGTAAGTATCCATGGCGGATCTATATGGATTTTGGAAGAGAACGACGAGTGAAACTTCTTTTGATTCAGATTTCATTGCTTTCATGTTGTGTTCTTGTTGATTTCTTATCTATTTCTTTACATGATTAATCTGAAATCCAATATGGGTTTAAGAGGAATCATGGAGACTGGTGAGTAATCACCATTTGAATTCATGGGATAGGGTGATTAGGTTAGTTCTAGGTTTTTTAGTGTAGATCATTCTTGTTCCTTGCTAGTAGAGTATTCATAATGCATCTACTGAGTTGACCACTCGAAAGCTGATCAATAGGCATTTTCCACCCAAAAGGTGTTTGATGAAATGCCTGAGACAACTCTCCTAGACTTTTAGTATACTTTGCCAAAGACATTTGTTGTTAAAGGTGTTAAGATAGCTAATAGACTTATTAGTAATGATTGCTTTCATATTATTCAACCAAAGACATTTAATGTTTGAGATATGTTAGCAAATGAGTATTCATCTAGACATAGAGCTTGTTTAGAATTGTGTCTAGACTTAAGGTTGATAGTTTGATTGATCATTTGCCATCTTTAGTTCGAAACTTGATCACTCAAGGTCTAATTCCTATGCCCATGAGTTCTCATTTATTCGATTGCACTTAGATTAAATGAGCACTTGCATTTTCAATGTTTTAAAATCCCTTAGAATTGATTCGATAATCTTTTATAGTACAACATTGTCTTGGGAGACTTGAAAAATTCTAACTTCAGGTTTAGGTTAGCAAAAGATAAAGAATATATGAAAGATGGAAGCAATCTGTAGAAAAACACCATTGCTTGTTGGTGAAGCAATGTTCTTTGCCTCTTTGGGAAGTGTTATGAACATGCTCAAACTTTAATTTTCCCCTTCTTTTGTTACTCTTTTTCTGAAGCCAAAGTTATTATTTCTTCATCTGGCCAAAGCTTTTGCTCTATAAACTTTAGTTGCTACTTCTGGGCTACTAGCCAACGACACATTTACACACACTCCTAGTGGTATAGATCGGTACAGATGTCACCCGATCTCACCTGGTTCAATTGAAAAATAAATGCAATCCCAATTGAATTGTGGACAGACTAAACATCGGTTTGGCTTAAAAAGCAAATGAATAAACCGGGATTTATCGGTTTTCTTCCGGTTTGTACCGCTGCATTTCTTCCCTCCCATTTGTCATCTTATCTTCTGGAAGTATACTGGTCGTCAACTGAGCAACCAATCCGTTAAACCCATAGAGAGATCGTAATTACCGCCGTGAAATTCCTCAGCTTCCATCATCAAATGGCACTAACCCATATCGTGAATCCCATCATATACCCGTCACCCACAATCCCGCCGCGTTTCGCGGCGATGTCGCCACTTAAAACCCTAAACCCCCAATTTTCCCGCCACACACCTCACGCTCAAGCAATCTCTCGCAGACTCTTCCTTCCTTCTGTCTCCTCGATTTGGGACGCCATAACAGGAGGCGGAGACTCGAACCCACGTGAGGCCATGGCAGCGATTCGAAACGGGATGCAACTCTTCAGACAGGTGAACAATCCGACAAAACACATTTGTCCGAACAAAGAAACTTAAAAAAAAGGATTGGGATCTTTTAAATATTCGATTTTTTTTTTCTTTGTGTGCGAAAGGGTGATGTTTCTGGATCGGTGACAGAGTTTGATAAAGCTATTGTGTTGGATTCCCGACAAAAGGCATGTAAGTGTTACGTGTTTTGTCTTAATCTTGCAACTTCATTTGTCCGTAAAGCTTGAAAAATTGAATTAAAATGTTTCATGAATACAAATACGTTTGCTTTGATGACAGATCTTTGGCAACGCGGGCTTTCTCTTTACTATATGGATAGGTACTTCCTTGACTTCTAGCTCCTACTGATTGTCTCTTCTTACGGTTTTGAGTTGATTCTTGGTTTTTATAATCAATAGGTTTGAAGAAGGTGCAGAACAGTTCAGGTTAGATGTTGCTCAAAACCCAAATGACACTGAGGAATCGATTTGGTGCTTTCTCTGTGAAGCTCGGCTTCATGGTATTGATGTTGCACGAAAACAGTTTCTTGAGGTTTGTTTTTTTTGCCTTCTCTTATCTTAAAAGCTTATTATTGCATGAGGAGTGATAGACCATTCTTTGTAGGTTGGTAGAGATTCTCGGCCTGTGATGCGGGAAGCTTATAACCTATTCAAGAACGGTGGTGATCCTGAAAAGGTTTTGTTTTTTTAGACACCTTTCTTGACAGTTGATGTTATGAGTTTTCTAATATATTCTGGTTTTGAAATATACAGTTGGTTAATGACTTCTCGAGCGGTCAAGCAAGTGAAGTCTTCTATGCTTCGCTGTATGCAGGGCTCTACTATGAAGCTGAGGTATGCTTTTGTTCTTGAATGTCTCCAACACCATCTTCTTTTACATCTATTGTTGCTTAAGAACAAAGAGGCTAGTTCACACACATTGACTAATCTTGTTGAGTTACTTGTCTGCTTCTCGTTGTAGGGTAAATCAGAAAAGGCAAAGTTCCACATAACCGCGGCTTGTGGATCTCCATATGGACAGAGGTTTGAATCCTACAACACACTTAGAGCAATCAAAATGAAGAGATACTTTGGTTTAGTGTTGTTGATGTTTTTCTCATCCCAAAATTTATTGAATCAGGTCTGATGATTACATGGCTTCACTTGCTAAAGTTCACTGCCTTTGTAGAAACTGGAGCTCCGGTGTTGTTTGAAACGGTTTATGGTTTTCTTCAAGCCTTTCATTCGTATGTTTCTTCAAGGCCCAACTGTGAAATAATAGCCCAATTAAAAGTTATCTTCCTCAATAACAAAGATCTCAATATTCTCTGATCACATTGTCTGAACAACAAAAATGTTATACATGAATCCTTCATAACTACACCTGTAACTCTTGAGTAATTTGATCCTTTTTTTTTGTTTCTTACTTACATTGTACATGCTACAAATAGTAACTTTACAATTGCGCATTTCCCATCGATTCCAAGATTAGAAATGTCGGGACAAATAATAACCGTCCGATACAAAACATTCCAGTACGATCAAGCACAGACAATAGCTGCCTCACGTGCTCACACAATCATTAATATTTCTTTAAAAGGTCAAAAAGGCCCAACTGCCACCAGAAGGGGTTGAGGGCACTTCCGTCATTTCACTCGATAGCTCTCACCTCCGCAACCGCGTCGTAGCCTCTAAACATATCAAAATACAATTTGCTCACTTCGCAACCAACACACCAAAAAAAAAAAAAAAAAAAAAACGAGAAAGAGTTGTAAATAGAGAGCAAAATAAGGATCACGATCCGCACAATTAGTGTCAAAAATTCAAAGTAATTATTTCTTAATCATCCGAGAGGTTCGTTTCTATCCCTTTTCTGCTTGTAAATAATTTGTTTTTTTTTTGTTTTAAATTGGAAAGGATTGCAATTTTGTAACCTGGAATTGTAAAATTAAATGATTCTTAATTAAATTGGCATTTAGTAATTTCTGGTAACGGTAGATTTTTTTCTAAGGTCGGAATCAAATCGATAGCTTTTATGTAATTTTCAGTTATGTTTTTTTTATTGCAGATCTGCTGTGTTTCTGAGCTGGAGAATTAGCGTTGAGATTGGTTTGGTTAGGTTTATAAATTTTTAGGACAAGAGCAGCTGAATGGAACCGTTGTTTATTGGTTGGGATTAGGGAATTTTATTACATTGGGATTTAGATTAGTGGGTTTGGTCGGATCCTAATTATCCAGGGAGAGAGATTATGGGAAAGAGAGAAAGAGATTCAAGTAGAAAGGGTAGATCTAAGGGTAAAGGTTCAGATGACTCAGATGAGGATTATGTAATATCAGATGAGGAAGAAGAAGAAGAAGAGTATGACGAAGCTGTTGATCTCAACGAGTTTGATGATTGTGATCTCAAGGAGTATGAAGATTCGTTTGATGGTTGTGATGTCTCCGATGCTGTGCAGGATGAGGAGTTTAATGAGGTGGAAGAGGAAGATGTTATGCTGAGGAATGTTGAGTGGCCAAAGGTGAAAACTGGTCCTCGTGGTAACCGGAAGATTACGGGATGCAAGTCACGAAAGATGGAACATGTTGTTGCATCTGACAATGAAGATGTGGATCTAGATGATGCGGATGACGAAGAAGAGGAGGAGGTAAGAGGTTCAGGGAAGGCTTTTGGAAGGTCGAATGTTAAAGATCTTTCTCTGGATGAAGAGAACCACGCAAGAGTTGGCTTGGGGAAGAGAAGGAGAGTTTTCTTTGACGAAGAAGATGAAGATGAAGACTATCCAGAGGAGCATGGCGAGGAGGAAAAAGAAGAAGAGAGGGATGTGGAAAATGCCAGCTGTGAAAAGGTGGATTTAGATTCTGGTCATAATGGTGAAGACGGAGAGATGATGACATTGGAAGAGCAGGACAATGTGTCACACGAGACTGAAAAGGAAGATGATGGAGATTATGAAGAGGATGAGGATGGCGATGAAGAGTTTACCGCAGATGAAGAAGAGGTCTCACTAGACGAGGAAGAGGAAGAGGAAGAGGAAGATGAAGAAGAAAAGATTTGTAAGAGAAACATGCGGAAGCATAGATCTAGAGGAGGCCGTAAAAGAAGAAAGAAAGGCTCCGTTGCACAAACTTGTTTGACAAGTGGAAGAAAGAGACGAGGGAAGAACACAAAGGAAGGAGTTTATGAAGATGATGATGACTGCTTGCCTGCAAGAAAGAAGGTGAAGACGAGATCATCAAGGCCAAGGCCAAGGCCAAGGCGTCGGTGTACTATGCAATCAGATTCAGACAATGCCTCCTCTGGAGAATCCAATCACGAGTACACAATCTCAGAGGAGGAAAGAGAGCAGGTAAGAGAAGCCAGTAGTTTGTTGAGAAGTAGGGTGAAGCATGTGTCATCTATAAAAAAAACTACGGTTGTTAAAGATGTACCTCAGCTTCGTAAGTCACCTGCAAAGAAGGTAGAGCTGGTGAAAAGGGATGTGATGAAAAACGTGTGTGGGATTTGTCTGTCTGAGGAAGACATGCGAAGACTGAAGGGAACACTGGACTGTTGTAGTCATTACTTCTGTTTCACTTGCATAATGGAGTGGTCGAAAGTAGAATCTCGATGCCCTCTATGCAAGCAACGGTTCAGAACAATCAGTAAACCTGCAAGATCTACACCTGGAGTTGATTTGAGAGAAGTTCTGATACATGTACCTGAACGTGATCAGGTTTGTTTCTTTTACCTTTTTTTTTTGTTGCTTTACGCCTATAGAGTCTCTTTAGCTGATTCAATAATCGTATATATCATGTCAGTACATTATAGTTACTAACATAAGTGTCTCAGATGTATGTAGATAATACCTTTTCAACTTTTGTAAACCTACAGGCATAAAATTGCAATTTTTTTCATTTAATTTGTGGTTGTATTGTAATTTCTGCTCATGAAGTTTGTTTATATATATGGGTGCAGGTCTATCAACCGACTGAGGAAGAGTTGAGGAGTTATCTTGACCCCTACGAAAATATAATATGTTCTGAATGTCACCAAGGTGAAGATGATGGGCTTATGTTGCTTTGTGATCTCTGTGATTCATCTGCACATACATACTGTGTTGGACTAGGGAGGGAAGTTCCTGAAGGAAACTGGTACTGTGAAGGTTGTAGACCTGTTGCACTTGGATCAGCTAGTTCCCAATCGCATACTACATCCGAGCAGCCAAGGGTCAGTGGCTTTTATAGTAGACCGTCACCTCTTGTAGTTTCTGGACAACATCAAGATCCGTCTTTGCTAGTCTCCCCACGTACACCATTTGCCAATGGCGAGTACCTTTTTTCTTCTCCAAGGCTTCCTAATAGTGATGTTCAAGGCTCTTCTCCTTCGGGCTTAGGGGCAACTACATTATCAAGAAGAAGGACGCTTCATAGACACATTCAAAATATTATCAACGGTGATAGACTTATTAATATGGGTAGTAGAGGTGGTGGAACATCGATGATTGCTAACACGAGTGGTGGTTTTTTGACTACACAAAGTCATGGCAGAGAAAGAGAAGCGTCTGAACCTTCACTACAAACAGGGATGTCATTGTATGCTATCTCCGAGGAAAGACAACAGAATAACAATCCATTGATATCTTCCCATGGCACTGAGCTTTTGTCTCCAAGATTGGATTATTTTGGAAGCGAACAAGCAGTAGGACGTTTCTCTAATGATACATTTCTTGGTAATCGATCTATCAATTTAGGATTGCATCATGGAGTGGCTCAGGGTGATCCCTTGTTTGGTAATCAACAACATCTACGTAGCTGCATGCCAAGCACAATGCCTTTCACCGGAGAAGAACAACTGCAGCACAGAGTTAATGCCCATCTCAAGAACTTGTCCTGTCAAATTAACTTAGGTACTCAATCGATTTCACTCTTGAAGCTTTTGTTTTAAATTTGCTAGTATTCTGTTATTCTTTGCGTTCCATTGTAGACAGGTTTATAATGTTTAGAGTTAAATTTGGAGCTTGTTTTAAGTCGGCTAGTTCTTCTCAGTATGACTTCCTAGCTAGTTTTGCTGAACTCATTCAAAATGCCAGATTGTGGCTATAGGCACAAATCTACGACTCGTTAACAGTCTCTAGATTAGTTCATTCTTTACATATCTCTCCACCCTTTGGATTGTAATTTAGATTCAACTTCCACTATCTTGTTCAGGTCAAGCCACGTTTGACGAGATTTCCACGCGCTCATTACACACAATATTGGCAGCTTGTGGACTGGAACACAAGAGCAGTGAAGTCCATCTTGTTCCGCCACCAGTAATGTGCCTTCACGATGATATGAGACCTTGCAGCAGCAGTAGTAACAACAGCAGCAGCAGTCTGATGAAAGGGTGTTGCTATTCATGTTTTGATTCATTTGTAGAAGATGTAGTTAAGATGATTCTGGACACAAGACAACCCCATTGGTTGAGGTTATGACTCCACTAAAAGAAATCACTGCTTGCTTCAATTTGTTTAGATTTGTTAGAAATCGATTTTTCTTTTTGCTTTTGTTCAGATTCTGAACCTTTAATTTTAGCCATTGTATATGATAAAGTGGGAATATTCATATTCACGTAAAAGGAATTTGATTTTTTATTACTATTTCACAATTAGCTTATTATAGCAAGTTTTTTTTGTTAATTATAGCAATTTGTGCACAAAAATAAATGTTTATTACAAAACGAACCAGCGTAGCTTACTGTATCGCTCTAGAGGATCTAAACACTTATCAAAGGCCTTGCTGTTTCGCCATTGTATGTATGACAAAGTGGGAAGATTCATATTCACGTCAAAAGAATTTGATTTTTTATTATTATTTCACAATTAGCTTATTATAGCTAGTTTTTTTTTTTAATTATAGCAACTTGTACACAAAAAAAGTTTATACGAAACGAACAATCGTAGCTTATTGTATCACTCTAGAGGATCTAAACACTTATCAGAGGCCTTGCTGTTTCGCGTTTTATTAAATCCTGTACGAGATGTCGTTCAACCAGAGAAGACAGAAACGGCACGCGAAGCGTCATAAGAAAACTAAAACGGCGAAACGTGTGAGATTTAGTAAACGTCCCATATCGGTTAAAGGAAAAATAGAAAGCTTTGGAGAATGAGTATAAATAGGACAGTCATGAGTTCAAGCAAACCACTTACCTGGACGGGGTCAACTCGTGATCAAGAAGACGAGTGGCCTAGGCTAGTGACTTCCATTGCACATACTGGAAGGGTGCTTAGCCTAAGGTCTTCCCAAGTGGAAGAGCCTGCGTCATTATTTGTGGCAGAGGGGGTTTGCGTCCGCGCAACCCCTACCATTGAAGTCTTAAAGTGTTCTTTTACCGGTCTGATTGTTATTAACTGGTCCTGGTCCGACTGTTTATGCCTGGGCCTGATCTTATAGAATAAGAGTGTACAAATTATTTTCTGATACTAGACATATAAGTTTTAATCTAGCTGGTTTAGATGTTAACTAGAAGATTGTAATATAAAATGCAAGTCCCTCCGGTTACACAAGTTGATTCTGAGTGTTTTTATGGATCAAGAAGATCCAGTTTTGAGCCAATATGTGATTGTTGTCTCTCGTTGGTTTATCACAGTTGTCAAATGTCAAGGATATTAAGACTGTAAACTGAAGATCATAAATGCTCGTTGCAGAGAAAACAAAAGTAATAGATAGAGAAAATATCTCTGGACAATTGAAAAGTACTAACATGCCTCTCAGTCTCAGCGGTGTTTACAGATTGGTGTAACCAGAAACTCAAATCAAACCATTATTCACAAACTAGAAAACCTTGTCTAGCATACTCACACGAGGCTCCATAGAGTAAAAAGCTTATAGACCTTTCCTGTGAATTTGATGTTTTCTCAGCACATGAATAAGAAGGAATCACCATGAAAGTGAGATCTAGTTCACCATCATTACCCAAAATTACACAAACCACCAAAAGTAAGAGCAAGTACAGGGATGGATACAGAGAGCAAGAAACACTAAGTTACTCAAAATCCAAACATATCAAATATTTGAATTCATAGACCTATATGAATAAATCCCAGTTTGACTGTGCTGGGGGGTTTTAGAGACTGAACTTGTTTTCTTGGAAAATTATGTTGCATGGAATCAGGAAATCTAACAGAACTTCCAGTACCTATACAAAGCTTAACCTCATTCGTTTCCTGCTCCTCGTCTCTTCATCCTCATCGTGTCTAGATTCTTCAGTTTCATTGTTTGCTTCTGTGTTTTCTGCAACAGGAAAAAACAGAACCATTATCATTCTCCCCAACTTATTATTATTATTATTATCACCATTAATACCTTTATCATCCTCACCATGATCGTCATTTTGATCCTCACCACCTTCACCATCATCACCACCTTCATCTCTCGCACCACCTTCACCACCATTATCATCTTCTTCCACACCACCACCACCTTCATCATCATCATCATCATCATCATCATCATCATCATCATCATCATCATCATCATCATCATCATCATCATCATCATCATCATCATCATCATCATCATCATTGTCATCATCATCATCATGATCATCATCATCATCATCATCATCTTCCTCATCATTATCATCATCATCTTCATCATAATTTAAAAGTCGTACACCGCAGCCTTTGACCTTGCAGGTTTTATCATCGACTCTAAAGACAAAAGTAAGCTCGCTGAAAGTGGTTTCTTCAGCATTAGGGCAATCAGAGAAAGAATCTTCAAATATATACAGATGCTCTTCATATCTAAATGATAGAGCTGGCATTAGGAGTTGGTTTGATCCACTTCTGACTATAAGGCCATTCTGTTTACCCCTGACGGAATAAGACATGCCCGTCAATGAATTCTCACCCTCTTCATCATTGTCATCAAAGTTATCACCAGTATGATCATTTACCTTTGACAGCAAGATACAAGCTTTGAATCTTAATGATGAAGGAAGAGGTCTTGAAGTCGAATTGATCGTCAAGGAACCTGAACTGGCTCGGTGAGTGAAGTGTGCAGGCACTTCTTCACCCGGTAAGACCGCATATTTGCAAGCTGATGTCTGTATGAGCTTTCTTACTTTTCTTTTCAGGTTGGAGCACTCAGAAAAGTTTAGGCAAATCTCGGGATTTCGAAAAGAGGATTCTATTCTCTTCAAAGAACAACAACCGTGTGCATCTAAAGATAGAAGGGAATCTGGAAGTGGTGGAAGTGCTTTGAGCATTTCGCAGTCTTTGATGTCAAGCTTAATTAGTCCTGAGATACGTCTGATGCAATCTGGAATAGTCTTGATACCAAGACTGCAGCGAAGACGTAAAGATATAGGAGATGTAAGAGCCTTCTCGGGTAGACATATCGGCAAAATGTAGTGAACGTCTAAGTCTGATCGTAATCTCCAACTGCGCTTAAAGTCAGGCCCCCACTCGATTATTGCTTCAAATAAATGTTCAGGCGTAAACATTTTTATATCATCTTCATATTGACCATCAGAAGGATAATAATCATAGTTAGTCAGACAAACAAACTCAAGATTTTCCAACTTAGAAATGTTTGACGATATATTTTTCAGCTTCTCGCATCGAAACATAATTAGTTTACGCAGACGAAATAGGTTCTCAATCCATGGAGGAATCTCATTAATCTCTGTATAGCACAAGACCAACTCTTCGATGCTGTTAGGAACATTTGGAAATTCTTTGATTTTTGTAAACCTTGATATATCCAATCGGTAAAGCTTGGTGGCATTACCAATAGAGCCTGTGAGCTCTAACAAACTTCTGCAGTCACTGAGACGTAATTCCTCGAGACTCGTTGCTTTTGAGAGATCTGGAAGCTTTTTCAGATTCCAAGAGAAACTCAAATCCAATATCCTGAGGCACGGGAGAGGCTATACAAAAAAAAAATATGAGTTTTAGAGAAATGACTAATCGCGCAATACAATATAACACAAAAAGTAAAAAGAAGCCGAGTATTTTTTACTTTAATTCCCTCCCAAAGCATCTCGAATTCGCTATATTGCATGATTAGTTCAACAAGAAACTTGCCAGAGAACTTGGAAGGCCAAACTCTCAGTGGACACATTTGCCAATATAGCAATATGAGTTTGTCGGGAAGACAGTCTAGGCCATCAGGTATGCATAAGGTATTGGAGTCAAAGTATAGAAACTGGAGATTATTCTTCCCCTCGAAAGCGCTTTTACTTATTTGGATTATCTCACGCGTACAGAACATTATGCCTAGAACATTTCCAGTAACCTAGGATAAATTATTCACAAAGAAGACAATCTCAGCTTAAAAAACAAGGAAACAAAAGACTGCAGATGCAAAATATAACCAAAAAAAAAACTTACAGTATCTTCATCAAGCATATCAGAAATATCTGTGTCCGTCAAGAAATGTGGCTTCTCCAAAGACTGTTTCTTGACAATTTCTCTACCCATTTGTTGCAGTAAACTATGCATACGTATGCGTCCGTCTTCTATAGATATAAGAGATTTTTGAGCTAAGATTTCAAGCCCATGGTTGACATCCAAACTACTGTTTGCAAAATACCTTTTGAATCTTTTAACGTAGAAATCAGCAAAGAAACATGCTAAATGCAGAAAAAGAGTTCTTTCATTATCTCTTAACGCGTCATAGCAAAATCTTAGAGTTGATTCAATTTCTCTATCAAGGGAAGACCTAAGCCATGGTAGTGCTTGCATCCACTCGTCCCAAGACATACCTCGTAGATACGACCCTGTAACTCTCAGGCCTAGAGGAAGATGACCAGCAAGTCTACTAACTTCCCAAGCAAGACTTTCAAAACCATTATCGGGAAAATTTTGACCGAAAGCATATTGGCAGAAGATCTGTAGAGACTCATCTCTAGTTGGATATTTCATCTCGTAGATATGATCGCTCCCGAGTCCAAGTGCCTTGAGTAGTTTTCTATCTTCAGTTGTAATGATAATAATACTTCCAGGACCAACCCATCCACGCTGTTTTGCCATTTCCTCTAGTTGCCACCATTTATCCACTTCATCAAGAACAACCAACACCTTTTTGTCACTCAGCATTTCTTTAGCCCTTCCTAAGTGACGAACCTCAATGTCCCCTTTGTTGAATATTTGACACAACATTTTTTTCTGAAAACGCAACTTCAACTGATAGTCGTTACCACATGGCTTCTCATAACTTCCTTTGATATTTTCCAAAAATGTGCTGAATTGAAAAGCAGGAGCAAGCTGGTTATATAAAAATCTGCTAGTAGTCGTCTTCCCAATCCCGGCAGGACCAAAAATTCCAATCATCTTAACTTGTTCTGACTGGTAGATCAACTTTGATTTTATCTCCATGACACGAGCTCCTATGCCAACAAAGTCATCAAAGTCTTTTGATGGTGTGAAACCCAACACATCCATGACATTTGAGGCAACATTTTTGATCAAATCAGCTTCATTGCCACTAACAAAAAAAACAGAGAATATAAATTAAAACAATCATGATTTACACATAATATCCAAGTGGAAGTAAAAAAAAAGGAGAACGAACCAGTTGCTAGAGTGGTAACCAGCTATACCGGCTACATCTTTCAAAGCTTGCTTCCATGTCTGCTTCACTTCTTCTGTTTT